GGCCAGACGCTGCCCTGCTGCCCCCCCCCCCGGACCCCGATACCTGGAGCTGGGGCTGCCCGGATAGCCCCAGCCCCCCCGCCACCCCCGAGCACCCCCTGCCTGCTTTCTGCCTGCACTACTTCGACATGCTCTACTCCGAGGACATCGCCTGGGCCACCAAGAGCATGGGGGAACCGTCCCAAAGCAATGCCCAGGGGGGGCGAGGGGAGGCACAGAAGGAGCCGGAGCAATGTCCCATCATCGACAGCCAGGGCTTGGGGCTGGGGGCCGAGGGGGACCTGCAGGCCAGCCTGCACCTGGAGGAGCACTCGCTGGAGCAGGTACAGAGCATGGTGGTGGGCGAAGTGCTGAAGGACATCGAGACCGCCTGCAAGCTCCTCAACATCGCCGCAGGTGGGTGCCCACCCCCGGCCCAGCCCTCCCCGGGGGGCTGCATGCAGGGCCAGCCCCGCCATGGGGTGCAGCGAGGGAGGGGATGTGTCGGGGTGGGGGGCTAAAGCCCTGCTGCAGCCCGGGGGTTTGCAACCAGGCGCTAGGGTTTGGGGGAGCGCGGCTGCTGCCGGGGTCCCCCCGGGCATCGCTCCTGGGCACGGCTGTTTGCTAACACCCAGGGGTGCCAGAAAAATACCCCTCTGGCTGGAACAACCCTCCGCTGGCTCGGAGTTAAGCTGAGGCAGGGGTTAGCAAGGCTTTACGCAGAGCCCTGTGCTGGGTGTGGGGTGTCGGTGTCCCCCAGCTCAGAGGTGCAGGGACACAGCGACACGATGCTGATCCCTTCCCCTGAGCTGGGGGTCCCTTCCCCTCCCGGGGCATCATTATCGAGGTGCTTTTCAGCCTTGCACACACCTTGGGGAGGGTGTGCGGTAGCAAGGAGCAGACAGCAGGACTTTTATTATCCTTTTCTCTGCCCCATTTTCCCTGGGACATTAGGAACAGGCGGATGAGCGCGTGGGGCTGGGGACAGCCTGGAGCCAGCGGACGTTGCCCGAGCTGGCCACGGGGTTGGGTGTGAGGGGAGCAGGAGAGCTGAGAACTGAGTTCCCTGAGGTACTGCTGCCACAGGGCATCGCTGGGGTATTCTTAGGGCATCGCTGCTGTGACACAAGCAGTCTCAGGGTGTGCTTAGGTTTATGTAGGCTCTGCCACCCACTCTCCTGAAGCATTTGGTGTCACCCAGGATGGGGCAGGGAGGCAGCGGGTCTCCAAAGGCCTGGATGAGGCACCACAAAGTGAAGGAGGTGGCAAGGGGGTGGTCCTGTCCCCGGGGCACCAGGGCAGGTTGAGAGCGGGGTGGTCCCATCCTGGTGGGTGATGCTGTAGCAGGGCAGGTGGGATGGTTCCCTGGGGCTGCCATGGGGTGTTTGGTCAGAGAGTGGAACAGGCTGCCCAGGGAGGGGAGAGTCCCCATCCCTGGGGGGGTTTCAGGGCCGTTGGGATGAGCTGTGGGGGGATGTGGGGTAGGGGAGAACTTTGTAGAGTTGGGCTGAGGGTTGGACTCGATGATCCCGAGGGGCTTTTCCAACCTGAATGATCCTGTGAGTTTCCCCGGGCTTTGCCTGGGCTGTCACCGGCCACACTCACCCTCTGCCTCCAGACCCCACGGACTGGAGCCCCGGCAACGTGCAGAAGTGGATCTTGTGGACGGAGCACCAGTACCGGCTGCCGCAGATCGGGAAGTCCTTCCAGGAGCTGTCGGGGAAGGACCTGTGTGCCATGTCCGAGGAGCAGTTCTGCCAGCGCTCGCCCGCCTGCGGTGACATCCTGCACGCCCACCTTGACATCTGGAAATCTGGTAGGTGCTGGGGACCGGGGGGGAGCTGGGGAGGGTGGGTGATGCTGTGCAGCGGGACATGCCCCTCTGAACACCCTCTCCTCCCTTCCAGCTGCCTGGATGAAGGAAAAAGCCACCCCAGGAGACGTGAGATACTGTGGTGAGTTCTGCACGGGCTCAGCTCCACTGGCCTCGCTGCTGCCTCAGACAGATCCGGGTATTTGAGAGGTCACTCCCTGCTTAATTGCAATTATCTGATGCGTTGGAGCGGCTGCTGCAGCAGCATCCGTGGGGTTGCACTCCTTCTGCCCTGGACTGTCTGCAAGATGCAGTGAAGGGGAAATGGTCGCAAGACCCTCGCCGGCCCCGTCCCACACCCTGTGCATCCCCGCGGGGCTGTGCAAGGGCAGGACCGAGCTGTTTTCCCTGCTCCAAGATGGGGAGGACAAAGCGGTGCTTCCGAACCCAGTGCCTGGGCTGAGCCTCCAGAGACCCACAGGCTGGGATTTCCCAGATTAGGACTCATGCGGGTCCTCAGGGTGGTGCAAAGCAGAGAGGTCTCTCCCCGCCCCCATCTCACCCATCCCCACCCTTCCCGTGGCAGGAGGTGACGCCAGCTGGGCAGACAGCGAGGTGGACTCATCCTGCACCGGCCAACCCATCCACCTCTGGCAGTTCCTCAAAGAGCTGCTGCTGAAGCCCCACAACTACGGTCGCTTCATCCGCTGGCTCAACAAGGAGAAAGGTGGGTGGGTGGGCGGGTGCTCTGGCAGCCCCGGGGTGGGTGCTGGGGGGGCAGGCAAGGTGGTAACCAACCCCCCATGCCCTCTTCCCCTCCCAGGCATCTTCAAGATCGAGGACTCGGCGCAAGTGGCCCGTCTGTGGGGCATCAGGAAGAACCGCCCGGCCATGAACTACGACAAGCTGAGCCGCTCCATCCGGCAGTATTACAAGAAAGGAATCATCCGGAAACCCGACATCTCCCAGCGCCTCGTCTACCAGTTTGTCCACCCCGTCTGAGCGGCGCCGGTGGGACAGGCTGAGCCTCGGGAGGGACAGGGGACCTTCGCCACCTCCCTCTGCCTCCCAGCCCCAGAAACCCTCTTCCAGCACTAAGGACCATGGCCGGGGCGCCGGGAGGTTCATCCATCCCAGGAGCTGCTGGCAACGGACTGTGGGACCCCCCCCGTCACCCCCTAACTTCACAGGGGGAGGGATGAGCCCCCAGCTAAGGGACCATCACTGGTGTGTCCCGGTGCGGGGCGAGGACTGTGCAGAGCCCTCGTCTCCCGCGAGCGCTCCTGGGGGAGGGTGGGCACGGACTTTGGGGCTGGCGGAAGAGGCATGGGGTTGGCTGGGGTGGGATAAAGGCAGATGGATCTGTGGCTGTCACGGGGCTCCCCACAACCTTGGTGCCCTTTGGCAGGGATTGAAGGTGGGAGCACGGCTGGGGTCACCCAGGGGAGGAGCAGGAGTCCTGTCCCCACGTCTCTTTCCCCCCAGCACATTGTCCTCTCACCCTGCAGTCCCAGGGCATTGCCAGGGCACAGGGGCCAAGGGCATATCCCAGCAGGAGACCATAATATCCCTGTGACACCATGCCCCGGGGCTGCGTCGGGGGGGGGACCCGACACCATCGGGGTCACGCCCCCCTCCAGCCAGATCCTGTCCCCATGCCACCAGCCTGGCTGCGGGACTGGCTGCCCTCAGCGCCCATCAGGAGTGACCCTGTGTGCTGCGGTGGAGCTGCTCTGGATTTACCCCAACAAGCAGCTCCTGGCCCTCAGCCCTGTTCGGGGTGGGGGGCAGCGTGGCAGGGGGCACCTCAACGCTCAGATGCAAAAAAAGGGACTGCCTGAATTTTGGGAGGGATGGTAGCTGGGATCGTCCCTCCTTTGTCCACTCCCTCCCCGGTGCTGGCTGCGAGTGGCTTCGCTCCGGCCATTGTTCGGGGAGGACAAAGCCTGGGCATGAGCTGGGACAATGGCACCCGCGGGGACAATGGCACCCGAAGGGACAAGGGCACCCACAGCTGGGCCCGCGCTGACCCGACCCGCGCGGGAGCAGCCTGGCACCGGCAGCACCGCAGCACCCGAGGGTGCTGCCTGCCGGGGGGCTGGGCGCGAGGTAACTGTGCCCCAGGGACCACGGGCACCCCCCTGGGACAGGCTCACCCCACCTTCGCTTCTCACTCCAGGACACACTCGGCTTCTCCGCTCCACAGGGATTTGGGGCTGAAAACGGGCATTTTGCAAAGGGAGCGGCTGTAAAACATGGGCACAGGGCCAGAGCTGGACCCCTGAGCTGGATCTCTGGGCACGGGGACACCCAGAGCCCCCTGGAGCCCCCAAGTCCTTGGCTTGGTATGGGGCAACTCCCTTGATTTGGATTTTATTTGGACTGAGTTTGGGAAAAGGGAGATGGCAGCTCTGCCATTTCCCCCCGGACAGAAAATCTGAAATGCAACCCCCTGAGCCCGGACTGGGACCGAAAACTGGGGATTGCTTAAACTACACATTTCACGAGAGTCCAAGTTACCTGGCGATGTTGATCTTTTATATTATAATTTTTTTATTTGTTTATTTGCTTTTTGGTTTTGGCTGGCAGCAAGTTGTGGTTTAGGTTCAAATGTTGAGGGTAGACAGATGGCCCAGGTACCCGTGAGATGCTTTGTGGAAGTTTAAAAGGAAAAAAACCACCTGGTTGTTGATTTTTATTTTTTTTTAAACTTAAAATAGCTGCCTGTCACGGCTCCTGCCTTTTCCTTTTTGTTCTGCCTGTCTCGTACTGTTTACACCGGCGAGGAGTGGATGCATTCCTGCCAGCCTTGCAAGCATCTCAGCTGGAGGGATGGAAGGTGGCTGGAGGGAGGAGAGGAGCAGGGGAAGGAGGAAAACTGCCTTGGCCTCTGGAAAAGGGGGGAAAAAAAAAAAGAAATGGGGGGGGAAAAGAATCAAAATGTGTCTTGTGATTTCCTGTGTGTAACCAGTGCTCCCACAGATGGCACGGGGAGCACCAGGAGTGTGGGCTGGGGGTGCTGGCGCCCCAAATCTCGTGTCCCTCTCGCGGGGCTGGTGAGGGTTGCGTGTCCCCGCGGGGATGGTGGGCAGGGAGGGGGGTGAGTTGTGGGGACAGCTGCTGCCAGCCAGGGAGGGTGCACGCGGGGACACAGCGGCCCCAGCGATGGGGGGACCTGGCCCAGCAGATGCCCACCGCAGCGGGACGGGCCGCCGGCACCACGGGGCTCACAGCCGGGGTTTCTCCCCAAACCCGTTGCACCTTCAGCCCTTAAATAAGGGGAAATAAATCCATTTTCTCTGCCCTATCCCCACTGGGAGCCCAGGGAGTGCCCCCCACGCTCCGAAGGGTCCCCCTCCCTCCGCCCTGTCCCCCTCGGCTGCCGCCCCGTCCTGGGGCTGTCTCGCCTCTCTGGGCAGGGGCGAGGGGTGGGCGACCTGCACATTGTTTTTCCCACAAGGTTTCAAGGCTCGCAGGCAGCATCCACCCACCATGGTGGGGGTTCCCTCCTGCCCAGGGTACTGGGAGTGCTGGGATCAGGGGCTGCTGCTTCTGCTGGTGCTGGGAGCGGCTCCAAAATCTGCTTTATGCTGGGCTTCGCAAGGCTTTGCCTGGCACCTTGGCACGGGAGTTCCCAAAGGCAGTGCCTGCTCCCCGACTCTGCACCCCCCTTGTCCCCCAGGAAATGCATCTGAGCCCCCCCATCCTGCTGCACCCCAAAGCCTCAGTGCGGGGGTGTCCCTGCCTGGGGGCGCAGTGCCTGCAGCTGTGGCTCCCGGGGGCACGGGGGGCTCAAGCACTCGCCCCAGACGGGGGGGTCTGTAACCCCAACAGCTGCCTCCCCGGGGGGGTGAGACCGGCGCACGGAGGCAAACGAGGACCCAAACCCGAAGGACGCTTACAGAGCTCAGTTATTTTCACTTGCTGCTTTTTGTTGTTGTATCCACGGTAATACAATCACGATATATATATATATATTATATATATACTTCTTAAATTACACAATCAATGTACAAAAAACCGGGGTGCATTGCTGAGACAGGTGGTTGGTTGGGTTTTTTTCTGACTTTGTGGTGGTTTTGTTTTTCCCATTTGCATACCTGGCAGGGGATGTGGGGGCCGGGTGGCTCTTGCCCACCGTGCCCAGCACATGGTGCGTCTCCTGCCTCCGCGAGAACACTTGATCCCTGGGGCCAAAAAATTCACAAACCAACGGAGGGGGCAGGAGAGGAACGTGTGGGAAGATGATGGCATCGATGCTGCTGAGGGTGACGGTATGGAAAAAAATGAGAGGTGATCTGTAGGGAAGAGCTTGGGATGGGTCGGGGTGACCACGGTGGGTGCTGAGGGGGTCCCACCCACGCTGCAGCCAGTTGCAGAGCTCAAGGGCAGGAGGGGTAGAGCCCCTTGGGGGGGAAAAGCAAAGGGCAAAGCCTGTGGCCATTGTCCTGCTTTGACGTCCTGTTTTCAGCCGTCTGTGCCAGGCAGTTGCTGCCTGCACCGAGCTCTCCTCATCCTCCGGCTGGCTGCAGCTCCTGCCGGCACCCTGCGAGGCTGGACGTTGCTTTTCCCCCCTCCCTGCTCTGCTCCTGCCTCTCTTCAGGGAGTCGGATGGGGTCTGACCCCAGCAGCATCCCAGACTGGGCATGAAGATGCTTCCAGCTGCATCGGGCTGCGGTGGGTCCTTCCCCCAACAGCACTGGAGGGCCACCTCACCCTGGATCTGGTGTGCGCTGGGTAACTGCCCTCGCAAAGGGCGATGCTGCTCCCTGCAGCACGCGTGGGGCATCAGCTCGGGAGCCTCCACCCCCTCCAGACATGTTGACAGCCCGGACATGAGGAAGAGGAGGAGGAGGAAGCTGAGGAGATGCCACCAAGCTCCATGGCAGGGCTGGTCCCACCTCACCTGGGCATCAATCTGCCACCAGCCCTGCCCGGGAGCAGGAACCTGCCCGCAGATGGGGCTGGGTGGCTGCAGGGCAGGAGGGGACACTCGTCCCCTTCATGCGGGGAGGGAGGATGAACCAGGGAGAAGAACATGGAAACACGAGAAAAATGGAGTCGGACTCCAATCCCTCCTGTTTTTTTGAGATGAATTTGATTGGTCCCAAGAGCTTCAGTGCCGTGCATTTCAGAACAGTTCCAGCCAATCAGAAGGCGGCTCATGATTTCAGTATCTTTAAAAACCAACCAATCAGGAGCTCTCACTGGTTGGGCTTTAAGATCTTGAGGTATCAGCTTTTCGCTCGGAAAAATAATCAACTAATGTAGACGAACGAACGACGTCATCTTTCGCTTCACGTTATCTTAGAAGAAGAAGTAAGCGACTATGCAAAATACTCTTCGGAGACAACTCTTAAAAAAATAAAAGCTTGGTCGGAAAATATGTCTGAATCTCTAACTGTGAGGAGTGGAGGACCAGACGGCAAAATGGCTGGTTGGCTGGTGGAGAGATGGAGACAACGGAGGGTGGATTTATCTGCTGACGGCAACGAGGAGCACACCACAAGACTTAGATTGCCTCCACGTAGTTGGCGGGGTAGAGACCTAGCTGCCCGTTGTCCAAGCGCCCTTTGCACCATCCTTGCTCGTCTTCTTCACCGAGTTTGGTTAGTTCATCACCTGCAGAGGAAGGTGGGAAGGGGAGAGCTTGTTTCAGGCGGTGAAACTTCTTCTACCACCCTGTTTCTCCCCTGGATGGGGCTGCTGGGGGTTTCTAGGGCTGATCCTGAACAGGCTGGTTTGTAGGGTAGAAAGACAAGGGGTGACCCATGAGGCCTCCTGTGCCCTGTCCCACCTGCTCTCTGGTCCCACCCGGCTTTGGGCTCAGTTTGTGCCTTCCCCTTTCTACCAGTTCAAATTTTTGAAGTGCTGGGATAACTCAGAAATTATTTGAGGGATTTCACATCAAAACACGGGGGACCTGCAGCTCCAGCACGAGCCCTGGCTGACCCAGCATCAGCGACGGACCGTACCTGCTTTGAAGCTGAGCTCGTCCTGCTCCTGCCCGTCGTAGTCGTACAGAGCCCGCACCCGCACGCCCTTCCCCGCTGACTCCTCGTCGAAGGGGTTGGTGCCTCCATTGGCCTCGCTGGTGTTGAAGGAGTTGCTGCCTTCGTCGTCGGACCACTCGGCGCTGTAGGTCTGCCCACGGTCGTGGCTGCTCACGCTGGAGTGGGGGGAAGGAGGGAGAGAAGCGACGGAGCGTTTGGCATC